ATCAGCTGCCATCGTTTTCTCTCGCCGAGTACCTACGATCCAGTCATATCCTTAATCACTTAACAAAATGCCGAGTTTGCACTGCTAATACAGAAAGCTGTAATCCCACAAAATTCGCACTATTTACGTCCACGGAAACAGAAAATATGAATTTTCGCTCAGCCATTTATTTCGCGCAAACCCCGCCCTCTGTGGGCGGAGTTTGGATCCGCTGCCTATCATCAGTGTTTCCGGCCTGTAGCCTTTGTTCCTACGACATTTCAACGCTTTAGGTACACATTAATCACAGGAAGTTATGAAGTTCTGGTCAAACACACACCTCTAGGTACACGTTAATCACAGGAAGTTATGAAGTTCTGGTCAAACACACACACCGACACACGGACACGCACACACACACACACACACACACACATACAAAGAAACACACCGACAAACCAACAGACACATTTAGCGAATTATGCATAGTAGGATAAGTATGTGTACTATTTTTCCAACCTTACCTGTCGAAAATGCTATCGTAGTGACAATGGAAAAAGCAGTTATGCAGAGGATATTGTCTAAAGTGGCCGACGCAAGCACGATTGTAGGGATGCCCTGAAAATGGCCTCAGTGATAAGAAATAGAATAGCTCAAAAATCACATCAAAGCTTCCTGACAGCTCGAATTGCGATTCAATAAAGTCCGAAATCTTGAGTCCCGGATCGATACACGTCCGAGCCGAACAAGCCTTCCACCCTCCTGGGTCATTCGGTTGGAAAAATAAAAGTGCTGACTTAAACATCTTATAGCCAGTAAGTCGCTGCATAGGTAACATACGCATTCAATACGCCTCTACGAATCTGAGCGGAATATGTATGCAGGAGCGCATCTCTCAGACGGGCATGATAAACACCCGAAAGCGTCATTCTTTATCCTTCCAATCTAAAGAGTGAAATAAGAGGATAATAACCTAAATTTCGTTCTGTCCATAACCCATTTACTACCCGGGCGTGTTTCCGTCGTCCAACCATTTGCTGGGCAAAGGTTGAAGTGCAAAGGGTGAAGCATCTGTTTCACTTGACAGCGCTTTTAAGGGATAGAAGTGAATTGAGGACAGTAATTTTTTTTCATAGAAGGGCTTCTAAGAGATATCAAGGGTATTTGCATGACGGAAAAGCTGCCCACTAATTCCAGTCGTTCTGGACAAGCTTTCATCCTTCTTCTTACCAATTATGTTTTAGAAATTGGTATTTTCGCTGACTTGCTACCTTTCGTGAACCTAGCCCTCGGTTCTGCAGATCGAGCATTACTGGAACAGTGACAGCTGGTGAGATGGCAGCCAGTACCAATCTATAATAAAAAGCAGCTTGAGAGATCCTTCTGAAAATCAGAACTCCAGACACGTACCCGCAAATGATCGATATTGAAACAGACCATCCGAAGATGAACGTCGCAGCGACCGCTATAGAACAAGTTTCCACAGACGTGGTCAGAATGCCGAGAGCACAAGTCACACCCTTGAAGCATTTATGATGTGTGCGTTAGGTCCTTTCATAGACGAAATTTTTCTGATTCGTGTACGTATATCAAATAAGAAAAAATGTAGTGGAAAATTGGCTAAATGTTCTATATGCATATATATTCAGTCGAAAGGACGGTTTTTACCAAATTCTATATTTATTTTTTTAGGCTCATCATGCAATATCACCTGTATTACATATCGTCCATCAGTCGAGCGTGCGCTGAGAGGTGGGAGTTTCGGCAGTGATTGATGACCTTCGCACTATCAGACGTCCTGGTGTTTAGTCGATGTCGTAAGGTGTCCACTGGATAATCGCTCTGATCTGGTAGACGCTCATAAGTCGCGCGACATTTTATACCAACCTGATCTTCAATTCCTCGGCGTAACCAACATCGTCACCGATCTTCTTTCGTTGACAGGGCTTAAAATTCCGCACCCTCCTCCTCACTGGCTGTATTTGAAAATTACGAGTAACGTCTTTCCCACAGAGCGTTGAATAAGCGCCGACTGTGTACACGCTTATCGGACATTCGTAGAGTCCAAGTTTCGGCAGCTTTGTTCAAAGCAAAGAGATCACACCCTTTAATCCGTCATCTTCCCCTACATAATCTTATTTGCTCCCCTCGCCATGACTTTCCTTCCTAGATGACAGCTCTAAAACGGTCTGGGTACGCCAGCACATCAATTACCGGTCTTTCTCGACGGTATAAAACGCCTTCTTTAGATCGATAATTGTGAGACATAACGGCTTCCTCAATTCTTAGGCTCCTCTACGAGTTTGTGGAAGGTGGACACTGTATTAAAATTTCTCCGAGACAAAAACACTAATTCAAAACGATTTCCTCATCATGGACCTAAGGGAGCCCCGAATTGGCNTGGCACTGCCGTGTAAGAGCTCACAAAACTCTCCTGAAACTTCAGGGCCATAGCTACTCTTCAAAAGATGACACGATGACAATCCTAGATGACTTTCAAGGAGCGAAGCATCAGAAGCGTGTATCGGAGACCTGACCATGCGAACAAGGAAGACTAAATTCAATTTCATCGTATTGGCCGGACGAGGAGACATTATCCGCTGCAACATTCTTCGAAATCGGAGGGAAACAGTTTTTTGAAAGCAACAGAGACATCGGCGGTGTAGGTACCCTCGACAACACGCATCTGTGGAAATAAGTCAGGACGGAAGCCTTTCTCTCTGAGTCAGACTTTTGCGATTGAGAAGAATTCACTCGGTCCCAGCTTTATCAGTATTCGTTTCTCACGCCACATCATTGAACCACCAAATAGGAGCAGGAAGAAAACTGTATGAGTCCTGAAAACTAAACAGAGAAGACCATACTTTTTTAAAGGTCATCGTCGGTGATCAACGTCAAGACTGGCCTCACAAGAACGGCTGAAAAGCTCCATATCGAGCTCACGAAAAGGGATGGAAAGAGCAAGTGAAAGAGTGCACGAGTTTTTAAAGTCGACCCACACTTCCGGGGTAATTCGCAGTCCTCTCATCTGTGGTGAAGTTGGGAGTTTCCTGGTAGACGGTTTCGCTAAGGTATACATAACATCATTTTAAATCAGAGAAATTGGCAGACTGATTGTCGCTGTGACGAAGGATGAGATTGTCAACGGAAAGGGTAGTCGAGTGGACGAATATTTCCATCGAGCTCGACGAAAGTTGGCGGTTTTTGCTTCAACTACTTTTTCAAGCACTCTCAAATAGTTCCGTTCGCTGTCTTCTAACCGGACATGCGTCATGGAAAATTACGTAATCTGCCCGTATAGAAAAGTAGGAGACTGCCAACAAGGTGTTGTTGTTTACCAGCTTCAATGTTTGACATTTGAGCAACCGCTTGGTTCTGGTACGTGAATGGCTTGATGATATTCTCATTTAATTTGAAAGTTGTTGGTTTGAGTTGCAAATGGCTCCGAGTTGGTCTGCGTCAAATGTGAAAGGTGACACACTAGAAGTTTCGACACGCTTCTAGGTCTCAAGAATGACGAACTTAGTGAAATGCCGTACTACAGCACCCGGCAAAGTGTCAGGTTTTCACTTCCATATGAAAGGATATTAAAATGCTCGTGTCTTCTATAAAAGGCATTCCACAGTCAAGCGAATAGTAGGAGAGAAAGAAAGTGCTTGATGAAAGATCCTACGATCGCGATCGCCATTCCTTTGCATGGCTACTCTTCAACACTGGGCTCAGGACACAGACTTACTCAGTTCCAGCCGATGAAGTCTTCGCATCCCGTGGGCAAGCTTCAATTTTATGATTGCGTTAGCTCTGAAAAGTTTAACAATCTATTGGTGCACATGCCCACAAGCCTACTAGGGCGCGAGCTATTGTAAAAAAGTAGGAAGATTTCTCAGGATCGACCAATTCATCCTCAAGGTGGCATCATGAAGGAAAAGATGAGCAGAGTGGATGCGTGCCATATCAGAGAAGCTGCGCGTGAGGGAACCGACTAGCTTAGTGTACAGTCCAAAGTTCAAATGTGGGAGAAGCAGAACAACATGAGTGGCTCTGTCGAGATAACAACAAAGGTGTCCAGCAACTTCCTCTTTAAGAGGGGCAGAATATTGAAAAAAAATCATATAATATCAATCATATATCATTATAAATCATATATCATCATAAAACAATGAATCTTAAAAAAGTTTTTCTGTTGAGGAGAACCAATGCTGCAGTCCTTGGTTGCGACTGGCGCATTTGGGCGAATTCACTGGAGTCATGCAATGGAGTAAGGTAATTCTATCAAAATTTTCGTTCCAGTAAAAGGCAACAGCAGTAGTAGAACTGGCGGAAGAAGTATGGAAAGGGCTTAAAGTGTGTAAAGAAGAGGTAAACATCAAAGATTTCAAATTGCCTTCTAAGCGAATCTCACCATTTTTTCTTTGAGAAACTCCCAGTTGAGGCTGATTCCACATCGAATTAGAATTACCGTGAGAGCCAGCGTTCGCAAACACCATTCCCATCGAGGATTCACGTCGAAGATTTCGTTCAGGGCAACGATGTTTTTGACTGAGAGACCCACTAGCAGACAACCTACAATTATGAAAAAAACAATGGGCTGTTCGCTAATGACACTACCTTGGACGACGGCTTTTTCTCTAGCTTTTTGTTGTCACCGGAATAGTGTTGAGAAGTAACCGGTTAGGATCGATTTCTTCGGAATGTAATTGATGAAAGCNGGCAACGATGTTTTTGACTGAGAGACCCACTAGCAGACAACCTACAATTATGAAAAAAACAATGGGCTGTTTGCTAATGACACTACCTTGGACGACAACCTTTTCTCTAGCTTTTTGTTGTCACCGGAATAGTGTTGAGAAGTAACCGGTTAGGATCGATTTCTTCGGAATGTAATTGATGAAAACCTGTTTTCTCAGCCAATAATCAATTATGCTAATGATAATGGCTACAACGTTCCTCGAAGAAACCTTGGTCTCTCCAATAAACTGCAATGCAAACGGTAGTAGCTCACGAGTTCAGAACCTGGTATTCAGCGGAGCCCAATGTCTGTCAGTGTTGCAGCTTGTCCTTAAGTTTTCCTCTGCTCTCGGCTATCAGAGCGATGTCATCAGCGCAGAGAGTGGTCTGCAGCGATCCATCTATGAGTTCTTGTGCGATGACATCCATTGTAAGCAAGAAGAGGAACCAGCTCAGGATGATCCCTGGTGTACACCAGTCATCACGACTATCGCTTCACTCCGGCCGTGTAGAGCGTGTATTGCTCTCGTAGACCCATCTACATGTCTTTGACCAGAAAGATCGGTTGTTCTGGAACGTTTCGCTCTCGGAGCGCCCTCTAGAGGACCTGTCGTTACAAACGGTCGGAAAACTTCTTCAGGTCGAGAAGGCTAGGAAGGTCTACGCTTTTGTCGATACTCTTCCATCACCTATCTAGCTGTGAAGATAGCATCCGTGATAGTCCCTTCTTCAGCTAGTGCTCCATGAAACCTGTACGAGTCCCTCAATCTTGAGTTAAGTAACCACTCGTCCAGTTCCATCGTGTAGGCAGTTAGCCTAATAGTCCGGTTGTTGGAACTCCCCATTGCATCCCATCTTTACTTGGATATGGAACGACGGCGCGATCCCTCCAGACATCTAAAATTCTTCTTCCATTGATCACAGTGCTCAGAAATTGCGTGCCCTCCAAGTGACTTCCAAGCCTCTATGGGGACTCCATCTGAACCATTGTTTTTCGAGACTGCATCTTCACAATCGTGCTGCGCACCTCAACCTCTCCAAGATGCGATGGGACCAGCCGTAGAATTCTTTCCAACTACGCCTCACCTCACTGGGCTTCCTCAGGATGCACCCTCTCTGTTCTTGACGAACTTCCCTACCCCGAGGTTTCCAGCCAGAAAACGAAGTTCTCGTCTCCTCGGGCATTGAATTCATTCTACAACGCGTCCATTTTCATATCATTGCTCTCGCTACAGCGGCCTCGACGGGTCTCTCGGAAGTTCTCTAAACACCTAGGTCTTCTAGAACAAGGATCTTTGCCAGCGCTTGTAAGCCACTTTCTTCTGTTGCCCCACAGCTCGCTGAACTTAATCGCTCCATAACGACTCTTCCTTGTTTCCTAACAACCCACCTCGAGTTTCTTCCAGTGTTTCCCTCGCACACCGTAGTATGATTTTCACAGTGCATAAGGGACTGTACGAGAAGCTTGATAGTGCAGATATAGAGAATTTCGTCTCCTGGATATTCTCGCATCGGTATCGTAGTGGGGGCCGTAGAGCACAGTAGTGCCTTGATTCAGAGAAAACCTGCTCACTATAGGCACAGCTGAAGAGGGAGCCATGCTTCTGAAGGGAATTTCACAAAAAGAGCATTGCCAAGTGTAGTGGACGGCAGTTCGTACCATCACTCTTCGGGTGAAGGAGGGGGTCGCAGGGCAGTTCGGAAAATGAACCACGGGAACCAGGGACGGAATTTCGAGTTTCTCAAAGGGATAGGCCATGTGGCTCGCCTTGTTTCTCAACGTTGATAACGC